CCCCCCCCTAAAAACCCACACTGAAACCAAAAAAAAAAAAAAAAAAAAAAAAAAAAAAAAAAAAAAGTTGTGTACATACAAGAGCCGGTCGGTAGGTTTTAAGCCCGGCAGGAGTTCTTTGGGTTGAGGAGATTTGTTTGCATTTAGCCACAGGTGTGATAGTCGGGTAGTACGGTGTTTTGAGTGTCCCGAGGTGGTCTGTGTGCTCAAACAGTTTAGCTGACTTTGTGTGCATTAGTAGGGACTGTTGAATCCATCCATACACCTGAGAACGTATGTGATGAGAATATGCCTGCTTTTTGGCCTCCCCCCTCTGTCACCTGGGACCAGGTAGGTCTGGGACTGCCCAGGGGCTCTAGGGCCGTGATGACCGCCTTTCTTCTGGCCCACAGGCAAGCCCTTGCTCTGGAGCCCTTTCCTCCAGCGGCCCCTGCACAAAAGGAAAGGCGGCCAAGTGAGGTTCTCCAACGACCAGACCATCGAACTGGAGAAGAAGTTCGAGACTCAGAAATACCTCTCCCCACCCGAGAGGAAGCGTCTGGCCAAGATGTTGCAGCTCAGCGAGAGACAGGTCAGTTCTCTGGGTCCCGCAGCCCCAGCAGGCTTTTAGTGCTGAAGAAAACACTGGCACCCTGGGCATGTTCTGCCCCTACCCAGCTGCAGGGCTGGTCCTCGCCACAGCACCAGCCCCGTCTCCCTTCCTCCCCAGGTCTCTCGGGATTTGGAACTTTCTGTAAACTTTCTTTCTTTTCTGTAGGTCAAAACCTGGTTTCAGAATCGCCGAGCTAAATGGAGAAGACTGAAACAGGTATTGACATGGTTCTGTTTCTATGGAAATAGATGTTTGTATCATGTTATCTAAATGCGGAGACCTGTTATGGGTTGTATGCAAAAGTCATTTGAAGAGACTGTTTAACCTCTTCACCTTGATTAAAAGGGCAAATAGTCCTGCTGAAATTCAGGATGAGTTGCTCAGGTGGCACTAATGCTAAAAGCACCTAATGCAGTTCCTATATCAATTATGCTAGGGTTTCACACACTGGCCAGTAAACCGCCTAGCTAATTGTTTTATAAACCCCATATGTTGTTTATCTCATTAACGCAGGAAAGATAAAGTAATTGACAGTAAATGACATAAGTAGTTATCTTTGGGAGAAAATTGTTTCTTTTATTTACACAGCCATAATAAAACCAGGCAGGACTCAAGGGTAAATATAAAGACACAAACACCTTTAAGTCTTATTTGCACTTTTTAAAAAGGAAAAATTAAATATCAAAGACTTTAAAAATTATTGTCCATCTTTTGCCAGCTTTTAAAATGAATGTAAAACATGTAAAGAAATCACCATGCCTATTTGGAAAGTAGCTTAAACTTCCTAAGAAGTCTTTCAATAACCTTGTTAAGAAACATGTGATATATATATGATATATATATATATATCATATATATATATATGTATATGCTAACTCATCTTCCAAAGCAACCCTGCTGATTTAGAGCTAAGGATTTGTTTCTGAGGTCCCAGACTGGATGTTTCCAGAGTTATCTGACAACCGCTGAATGGCTCACCTGGCAGTGCCTTAAATAACATCGACCACAGCTTGAAACAAAAGTTTGCTAAGTGGGAAAAGAACATTTGAAACAACAAAAGACTTCCTGTAGTTTTATTATTCCTAAGTATCTAAGGATTCCCTTTCATCACTAACCTTGCCCAGCTTTTGCAAATTTGGTCACTTGAGAATTACAATGTTTCTATATAATGTTTGCATCCATATTAGACACCCACAGGCTTAAACACTCACTGACTGGACTTGGTTCTTATTCAAAGGCTTGGAGCTAGTTTCCCAAGGACTTTTTAAAACAGAGCTTTCTATGAAATATGGGAAATATTTTTCTCCAGAAAAATTTGCCCAGATTTTAAGCAAATTGCAGTCTCTTCAACAATGTTATTTGGGTCTGTGATTTTTCTTTGCCATGATTTTGTAACTTGGTACATAGTTATATGTGTATGTGCTCATAAATTTACTTCAAAAGGCAAATGAAAAGGATTCAATCTATAATTTCACAGCTTCTTAATTTAGTATGTTTTTCCTTTTTTCTTTTCTTGTGGGTGGGCATGAGTGGGCCTTGGTATTACAAACCAGCCATTAACATTTGTTCGTTTTAAAATGCTAGGAAACCCTGTTTTGGGCAATATTTAAAGAATGACGACAGTGCAGTCTGGATTGAGTTATTTTTCCTCGTAAACTGAAGATCTTGATTGAGATCATGGGTCTCTGTCATGTCTAATCTCTCTCCGATGTGACTTTGCCACTCTTCTTTCCAATGGGAAAAGGAATCACAAGTGTATCTTCTTAGGAAGGAGATTTTAGATGAAAACAGTGTTTCAACTAAACTTTTGGTTTTTATGTCTTTGATCTTACCCTCTATGTTTTCATCCCCTCTTCTTTCAGGAGAACCCTCAAAGCAATAAAAAGGATGAGTTGGACAATTTGGACACTTCCTGTGACCAGGGCCAACACTCACCCAGTGAACAGAATAAAGGTGCCTCTTTGGATAGTTCTCAGTGTTCACCCTCCCCAGCCTCGCAGGAAGACCCTGACTCCGAGATTTCAGAGGATTCTGACCAGGAAGTGGACATTGAGGGTGACAAAGGCTACTTTAACTCTGGATGATGGTTACCAGCGGAGATTTGTTCAGAGACCGGACTTTCGAATAATGTTCTGCTACAGACAAACTGGAAAACTATGGGAGAGAAAAGGAGTATCATTCTTCTAGTGTTCCGAGACTATTTGGTGGGCTGGCTAATTAACAAACATGCATTGAAACCTTAATTTTGACTTAATAGATGGTGTATATACCAGCTTTAAGTTGTTTTGATAAAGTGACTAAATGTATCCCCATTTTAAAGAAGTGAATAATTTCTATTTATGAGAAGTAATTTGAACTTTTGTTTAAAACTTAAATTATAACTTTAAAGGTTTTAGTAGGCTGTTCCTGAGTGACTTTTCCTAAATCTGTGGCTCTACCCTCAAGAGGTACACTTAGAAAAGGGGCCCCTGTTTTCGGCTCCTTGGAGCAGTTTCAAAGGGCACACTCAACTTTTACGTGACATGTCACATTGCTGCCTTAACTACTAAACCATTCTGGAGCACTTGGCTCCAGGCATGTGTTCTTATAAGCAAGATAGCTGATAGGGTTCTCAAAATCTTGCTTTGCTTTGCCAGTGCCTCTCTTAAGGGATAGCACAGTCCCCACAGGCAGGGAAACTGACTCATTTGTGACTGAAGGTGATCTCTACATGAACTAGAAACAGCAGGACAATTAAATGTAAGTGATTGTAGATAGTGTGTTTTATTGAAACAATGTCTATAGCATGTATATAGAATTATTCACTGTAAAATCCCTGCCAAAATGATGTTTAATTTTTTTTTAAATTTTTATTTGATGAGTTAACTTTCGTGACCCTGTTTGGAATTCTCATTCTTTGGTTAAAAAACCCAAACATACCACCACTTTGAGATATGTGTGTGTGTGTGGTTGGCACAGGACTGGGGGTGGGGGGCTGGGGCCCCTTGGACAGTGGGGTGCCCATCTCCTGGAGTGTGAATTTGAGTTTTCCCAGGGGTGTTAGCTGGGGTGGGGTGTGTGTGTGTTGCCGACCAGGGGACCAAGCAGGGCCGGTTAGAGGGCCATTGATTGGTGTGTGAGGCCACCGTCCTTGACCAGCATGAGTCAACAGTCGCCCTCACCCAGGTGGGAGCCCAGCTGCTGTGCTCTGTGCTCTGTATGTGTGAGGGATGAGGCAGGGCTTGGAGGAACAGCAGACTTAGAAGATCTGGGAACGTTAAAGTCAGCGGCCTAGAGAGAATCTGAGCAAGCAGCTGCTCTGAGGTGCTGGCGGGTGTGAGAGACCCCATGGGACCATCATTTCCCTTTGGTAACTCCTGTCAGTGTTGGGTTGGGGACAGTGAGCAGAAGCAGAAAGCATCAGGAGTGTCAGGAATCTGATGTGTGAGAGAAAGGGGTAGGATCCTGGATGGGTAATCGTGGGAAGAGGGAGGAAGAGTGCGGCGCAGGTACATGTGGCCGTGGGTGGGTATTAACCTGCATCCAGCTACCTGTCCGGAGAGCCCAGGTCTGATAGCCCTCCCTCAGAGACCTGTTGAGGAGAGGCCCAAGTTAGCCTCCGTGGAGTCTTAGTTGTCCAGTAAAGAGCCTGTGGCAGAATCTGTCCAAGGGAAGCTGTTGCTGCCCGCATGTGGTCATCCAGGTGAAGGCATACCCTGCCTCATTAGAGTCCAAGAAGGGCCATGGAATTGCAAGTGAATTGGGTTTCTAGAAAATACTGAGCTCTTGTCCTTAGGCAGAGGTAGGGCATGGGTAGGCCTGGAAGTTAAAGGTCTATGTTGGAATTTTAGTTCTTGGTCTCAGCACTCTGAGAGAATGGCCCAATTGAGCTACACGACCCACTCTGGGTCCCCCAGTCCCATCTCAGGTCATGTCCCCCTTCTCACATCTCCTTAGTGTTAGAGCCCAAAGGAGCTTTCCAGTGGGAAGAGTTGTTTCCAGTCAGCTGCAGGCTCCAAGCTCCAGACCTGCCTAACTGGTTACATCCAAGTTTCAAAGGCCACAGTCAGTCTGGTCTGAAAGTAGAAGTGTGTATCCAAGTTGTGGAGAATGAGACATTCGAATGGAATTAAAATGATCCTGAAACTTCTGTGTTTCATTGCTGGAGATAACCTCTGGGTAATGGTTACTCTCCAGAGGAACTGTATCATGACCATTAGGCAGAGGGACAGAGGCTTCTGTATTGATTGACACTAGCAAAGCTAAGGGGTGAAATCTTGTTTTAAAGTGGACAATTCGCTGAAAGCATGCTGTTTTCCAATTGGAAGCTAGCCCAGGTTCCCTTCAAGTTGTTCCCGTTCTGACTCTAAACATGTCCTTAAGAACTGAGTAGTGGTTGGAGGAGGTACAGCATTCTCAGGACACAGGTTAGCATTAACTTTTTATAAAGTGCTCTGTTACAGACTGCCAATGGATATTTACAAACTCTTCCTACAATCCAGACATTTTTCATTTGTTTGCCCTTTGGCTATTTCATGTTGAAGCGGCATGGATGACCTTTATGGCACAGCTCCTGTCTTGTTTTTTAACTCTTTATCAGGAGATTCAACTTGAAAAACGGTTATCATTTAGCAGAAAGACAAACAGAAACGCACATTTCTGTAAGCAAAACGTTAATGATTGGAAGAATTGTCCTAATTTCACCGTGACAGTGTGTGATTAATCCCCTGGGTCGTGTACTTATACTTTAAGTTATACAGTTCATTGCTTTTTGATATCCAGAATCCTGCCTAACTTAATAGGGTATTGATTTTGCTGGATGGTGTACTTTGACTCTTTACACAACATCACTTTTAAGGATGACTAGCCTGTTGCGTACTATTTTATTTAGAGAACTATTGCATAAGGTTTCTTTTTTCTTTTTATGGTTTTTCTCAGGGCAAAAGCTGATAAGACATCTTGTGGGAAAAGCGGAAACCATCGCTGATAGTGAAAGTACCTATTCTCTTTCAACATTTCTGACAAGCTCTTTCGTTTGTGGTTTTATCACTGTGAATATTCAGCATGGTTAAAATGTGGACAGGACAAGGATTCAAGAAAACACCAGAATTTCCACTCTGGCCAGACTGCCTTGTGGAAATGATTTCTCTTTTGTGACCCAATCCTTCTGTAACTGGAGGTTTTACACTGGGACAGAATGTGGAACACCAGCCACCCTGGGTGCCATCATATGGATAGGCGCTTGTTACCTTGTGGTCAAAATAATCACACACTCCAGTAACATTCACTTTTCATCCATTGGGTTTTTTTTTTTTTTTTTTTTTTTTTTTTTTTTTTTTTTTTGAAACCCCAGGTGGATCCTGTAAGTGCCCAGTATAAGTTTGTTCCTTGAGGTTTGTTTGATTGTTTTGGTATTGTTAATCTAAACATGAAGCACTTGGCAGATTCCTTATCAGAACTTCAAGGTCCACAGAGCAGCAGCTTCAGAGATGGCTGTAGTAACCCCACATGGAAGCAGGCATGCAGGCATGCAGGCAGGCAGGCG